AGAGTAATAACTTACAAGAACAGAACAACCTGGCATGCCTCAAAATGCATAAGACGTTAGTATAACTCGTTCTGTCTACACCCGGGTCGTTAACATACCTGGTTTCTATCGAATACTCCGGGCTGACAATTGGAGTTTGGCTTGATACAACGAATGTAGTGAACATTTGTAGAACGCAGTGTTGACATCAGTCTGTTGAGTGAATCCTGAAATAAGCCAGGAACAGTGTAAACATTTATGAAATAATTGAATGATAACATATACAAAATAACTGTTACCAGATTCACTTCCTGTGGAACCTCCATTTCGAGAACATCATCGGAACTGGAAATGTCTCTAAGAATTATGAATGTAACAGGGGCATAACCAGTTTGAGCCTGGGGAAATGACGACAGTCTTCTAATCACAGCATCTTTTTCCCGTGTGCTGAAGGGAGAGGCTGGAAACGAGGTTGAGGTAGCACGTTTTCGCTCTTTTTTCTCTTCTCCATTCCTCTCGCGACTATACCGGAAACTCCTACAACTATGATTGCTCTCCACGAAAACGCATCAATACCCTTTTTGTAAGGACAAGACTTGCTCAAATACCTTGAATTTATGAACAACAGTGATTGTGGACTGTCGATGTTTACTGCTTTCCTTGAATGGAAACTGTCCATTCTAGAACAAATGCAAAGCAAAAGGTGACAAAATTATGAAAAGTGAAGTGACGCTCACTTGAAGCAAACCTTGTAGTACAGCTAATTTGACTTATTACCTCTTGTTCACCAGCTCTGTCTGGAATAAGATCTCTCGCTTGAAAGAGCTCTTGGATCAATGAATTGGTGCTGCTTTGTAACAGTTCGATTACTTCGGGTGGAACAAAATCCTGCGATAACCAAATGAAAAGAATGAGGAGTGGGTTACATATAGGAAGACTGTGGAACACGTTGCAATAAAGATCCTGTCCTCTCCCCTTGCAGTTGTTGCGATACAAGTTACAGTATCAGTGATGGGTCATGAAAACATGAGTAACGTGCTAGAATGACTCTCTCCAACTTTCTAGGCATATCTTGTCTAGATCCTTCCTTAGGCCTTGATACAAGATTGTTTAAGATCAGCTACGGCCTTTTCTCCCTTGAGGGTTCCAATCAAAAGCTACAATATGAGGCGTCGAAGTTATGAGCGTCGAAGCCCCCGGAGGGTTGGAGATCTCATTGTTGCTGAGTCACCGCCTTCATCTTAGTCTACTAACCCCCAAAACTACCAGCAACGTAAGCTTGAGCTTTACTTACTTTATTTGCCTGCAAAATTATAGTTTGCTGTCAGTGGTTAGTAGAATATGACGAAAAATCTGACCTTGTTTTTCTTGACGAGTCCTTCTACTTGGTAAGAGACACTCTCGGCAAAGTGATGAATACTGAACTCGTGATTTTCACTTTTAAACCGCGGACAGGTAAAGTGAGTGTTTTGAGCCAGTGCTGTCTTCAGGCGGGTACTGAACGAGTTAGTGTCCAGCTCTCTTTTCAAACGGCACTCCTGGAAAGAGGAGAAAAGGGCATTTATCAGAAGGTATAGAGTGATGAAGGCGTGACTTACTAATTCTTAACCCTTTGCAACCTAACATCAGTATGCATATTCTCCATACTGTTCTCTATACATTTAGGATAATTTTTTCAATAATCAAAAGCTTCTCCTCTATTATTATGACGTCCATGTTTGATTCATGGGTGATATTGTAGGAACAATTAAATGCTTGTAACTCTTGAGGGTTAAAGTACCTCTGGCGCTTTCACGTTCGAAAAATAATAAGCTTTGATTAATGCTTGACTCACTAAAATAAGGAACACGTTCCCATTCATCTGAGAAAAAGGCGCATGAAGAATTCATCTTGCACAAAACATTCTGTTACCTCGTTCATTAACGAAAAGACACTTGTCCTCCCTTCAATGAGATCTAAACACGGACGATTGTCCACGAACTCTTGAAAGGTCCAGTCAATACCTTCCTTCTGATATTCTTCCTAGAATGCAAATGGAGAAGCGTCAAATTGGTCAGTGTGCTCGAATTCTTGCCCGGCTCCGCCACTGCTGGCGACCTAAGGTACCTTTTTGATTGTGTAGTCCTGAGAACGACTGTTGGCAGAAGTAGTAATAGAGGTTTTGTCAATCTAGACTGACGTTATCCACAGGCTCGGGTGAGCAGGTGTTGTCTGTCAAGCGTGATCGGTCCGATTTGTGTATACTGATTGGTCAGTTTTTCAGTGATTATTTCATAGGGTACCGTTATACAAAGTTTTATCAGTTTGAAAAACTGTTCAAAATGTCAAAACTGTTTAGAAAGAAGCCGATAACGACATACCTGTTGTCTTTTCATAAAGTGGTACACGAAATGTTGTTGAAGCTTTTCATTAGCATAGTTGATACATAACTGCTCCAAGCTGTTCAAGTGGAAGTTTTCAAATCCGTAGATGTCTAAAAGACCTGGAATGAAACAGAAGAGAGTGAGTGATTTCTGACACAAAGTCAAGGTCAGGTAACCTTTATCCAAGCATAGCTTTTATCCACGACGAACCAATGGTCTAGAAAAATCTGTGCGCAGCTTAAATGTGATCGAAGTTAACTTTTTAATTCCTAGAATTCGACGTGATCATCCCGTAATTTCTCTTTACAAGAGCCATTATCCAGCCAAAAGGTTATCAGAACAGACTAAGATGTTAGAAGCTAGAGGCTGATAACACCGAATACTCTGAGCTAATTTTCAAAGCAATGTATAGCGAATAGAAAGGAGAATTCCCAACCAGATCCTGGAAAATGGGATAAAACTTAAGCACAATAATGATTATTTTCTATCTATTCTTACCGATGAAAGAATGTTTTGAATCGGGCGGTGCTCTGATAGAAATGTTTATGAAGTTTACTATCCAGTCGAACAATCTAGGAAAG